ACGTGCTATGCTATAACATTACAACAGCCATTTCATCACTAGGCTATAGGAATTTTTCAGCTCCATTATAATCTTACAGGACCACTGTCATATATATGGTCTGTCATTGACCCAAACATTGTTATACGGTGCATGACTATATATGAAAGTGACTCTCCTAAGTCTGGGCTGTAGATAGTGATGTAGCAGCCACTACTGCACAGATTGCTAGTTAAACCATGAAAGCACATGAGGCCATGCCAGAGCATTAGTGAGAGGTGAGTTTAGAAGTGAATTCTGGGAAAATCAACATCTCAGAGGACTGAGGAAAAAGAACTTGTGAAGGAGACTGGGGAAGGCATGGGTTGCGAGGCAGGCAAGCCAGGGGACAGAGGGACTTTGGAAGCCCTGAAACAGAGCATCCAAAAAGGAGTGATCAACAACATCCAACACAGCAGAGTTCCAGCAGAGCAAAGACTGAGAGGTGGTCATTAGAGTTGGTCACATGGACATTGCCGGCCATCTTTAGAAGAGCCATTTCTGTGAAGTTCCTGGCAGCGGGGTCGATGTCAGATTACAATGTTCTGTGGGCTGAAAGGTCACTGAGAAGACGATTCATCAAGTACAGACACAAGTGTCTCCCACAGTTATGATCATGAGGTGATTTCAGGTGGTAAACAGATAAGCATTTCATCATAATAATTATGTATTTAAAGTGTACTAAAATAGGTAACCAGTAAATCAAAGCCCTGATATCATGGATACCACGAGGTCTCTCTTAAAAACAAATATACTTTAGTACAAAAAAAAAAATCAATAGATTTAAAGACATATGAGGGTACTTCGAAAAGTTCATGGAAAGTAGAATTAAAAGATAATAAAAATCTTATCCATGAACTTTTTGAAGTACCCACGAATTATTACACACATAAACCTCTACCATCAGTCATTTGCAGGGGGTGGGGGACGTCTGTTGAGAGTGGAGAGGACAGGAAGTCTGAGGAGGGTGGGAAAGGTTTAGCACAGGACTTCTGAGGGCAATGTGTGGAGGAATAGTCGTGCTGACAGCACAATTATAATAGAGACCCTGACATTTTAGTGGCCCTAATCAGAATGACTGAGAGATTTGCTCCAGTAGGCTGACACTGGGCACACTGAAAAGGGATTGGACACTGATCGCAGTTAGAAGGGACAAGGGGGTAAGATGTTTTCAGGAGCTGGTGAGAGGAAAGTTCCAGTAACTGATCATGGTAGTATAAGCTGACTGGGAAGAAAGGCTGAAAGGACTGGAGACTTGGGTCAAAGAAAGGGACAGAGTAGCTGATGATCTTAGAGGAGTTTTAGGGGAAGACAAAGTCCAGGTGGCTAAAGAGAAGGCGATGCTGAAGTCACTTCAATTAAGAAGCCCAAACCTTGGGAAGCTGGGAGTGGGATGAGCAGTCCTCATGGGAAGTCTCTCAGGACACTGGCTAGATGTGGGGGAAGTGACCACAAAGTTAGATGCTGGTGATGATGAAAAAGGAGGTAGAGAGAATGGCAGAGATGAAATAATGATCTAAGAAAGACAGCGGGGAGCTGGGCAGAGCGTGCGCAGGGCAGAAAGTCTTCATTAGAGGGAACTTCAGGAGCGGGATAGGGAGGACTTGGTGTTCTGTGAAGAGCTGCTGGTGTAAGTAGTTTATAAGAAATATGATGCATTAATTAGCTAGATTCAATCATTTCACATTGTACTCATGTATCACAGTATCATTTTGTATCCTATACCTATATGCAATATACTTGGTCAATATCCAATTAAAAAACAAAATAAAAAAAAAATAAAGACTGCGACAAAAAAAGAAAAAAAATATATATATAGTTCTAGAAGGCCAAAGGCGAAGTGGTGGGAGGAAAGAAAACAGAAAAGAGCCAGGCTGGAGAAAAAGAACAGCATGGAAGAGAGAATCACATACGCTGTGGTGGTGCCTAAGGACTGCAGGAATGAGGGAGGAATGGGATTCCCAGTAAGCACCCCCCATACACACACCCCAACCACAAGAAGAGGCACTATGTGCTCAAGCAGGACCTTGCCTTTTAGGAATACAGGGTTCCTGGGCACAGCAGGTTATCTATAGAAGAGCTGTTTTGTCTTGGGTAAAAACTCCTAAGCCATGTATTTCTTGAAAATTACAATAGACTTCTAGGAAACAGAAGCCCCCAACCCTCAGTTTTCTTGGTTTACAAGGAAATAATCTTCCCATTGCTCATTCCAGATCCATTCCTTCTTTGTAAGGCCTAGGTCTAAGGCTTGGGACCAATGGCAAAACCAGCTTTAGGAAGAAATCCAGACTTTTCTCTCAGTGCTCATAATTCCCCCCAAGTGAACAGCAGATGGTAGCAAAGAGCTGGAAAGGGAGATGATCCCTCAAAAGAGCTCAAAGCTGGCCAGATAGAAGCTGATGGGCCACATCAAGTTCTGGATGCTCTCACCCAGGGCCTGGAGTCAAAGGTCAGCTCGGTGAGATCACTTGTCCTGAAAGCCAAATCCTCACTAAGTAGGGTGTCTATAGGTTATCAGCATAACAGAGCATCTCATCTCTCTCATTACAGCCCTAATGTTTCGCACCACACCAGTTAGGGAACTGGCCTACCAGCAGGATCTGCTCTAAGATACAATTATTTTCCCGGACAAGGTGAAGAAGAAGGGAAGGTGAAGTAAGCTTCAGAAATTAAAAAATTAAAAAATTAAAAAAAAAATCATATTTTGCTCCCATAGTACCCTCTGCAGCACTTATTATCACTGTATTAAAATCATCTATCTTCCCCAACAGATGGACTCCCTGTGGAAGGACTCTATCTTTCTGGTTTGTTTCTGACTCCCTAGTACAAATACTTGGCACACAGTAGATGTTCAATAAATACGTGTTGAGTGAATGGCTGCATTGGGGCAGGAGGTGGGGGACTCCCAGCCAGATGTGGTTGGGAGGTGGACTTCTGTCTTTTAGGTTGGCGTGGTATATGAGAAAAAGCATTAATCTTGAAAGGAATCTAGGATGGGCTCTGAAACCTGTCTCTGTTACTTATGGCTGTGGGCAAGGCACTTAATGTTTCTGAGCCTTGATTTTCTCCTCCTTAGAAGGAAGATTCTTCAACACGCTATTTGGGATGGGAAAATACACAAAACATGCCTAGCACAAAATCTCGCACACAGAAGGCACTTAATCAGAAGTAGTCGCTGATGAGTTATTAACTGTAGTTATTATTACTCTTCCTATTCTTACAGCCTCTTCTCGGGGCCAGGCATCCGAGAGGAGAAAGAATCACTAAGAGCAGGAAATAAATTTGAATGATCACTCAAAACCCCTATTTCCTCAGCCCAGTTCCCCCAAACAGCACAGCAAAAGATCCACGGAAGCTCACAGCAGGATCAGCCACATCTAGAGGGTGTGGCTTCCCCGATGGTTCTGTTGGAGGGAGGAGAATGGCTACTTGGTATTGTCCATGTCAGACCAGTCTGGCCCGGCTACCTGACAGATTTTTATGGGGACTTCATCAGAGTACAAAGAGGTTCAAATAACAGCCATGCGGATTTGGCCAGGACTTCCATCACGCACCTCAGAAGGCAGGAACACTGAGTGGAAGGGGCCTGGAACCTGGGCCAGCTGCCTGCCTGGTCCCCTTCAGAACGATTGTATCTCTGACACCCGAATATTATTAGGAGGCTGAGACCTGAGAAAAGGCATAAGTCCCCTGGATATTGGAACTTCGGACTTCCCTTAAAGCTCAGTGAGGAAAATAGCGCTTTCAGCGTACATTAAAAGGAAGTGTTCTTTGACGGTGTGAGACCCCAAGTGGCTGAACAGCGTAAAAGCAGCCTCGAAGGATATTTAGACAAGTCTATGGGAGAGTCGTAACTGATAGAAACCGGGCACAGAAGGCAAATCTCTTGACTCTAAGTAGACTCCATGAAGGGCAACAGTGCCCATCCTCCAACATGTCCCTGGGTTGGCCAGTCCTTGAGTATATCTCATGCCAGAAGATAGGAAGATTTGCCAGAACACCTGAGTTAGAGGACGCAAGCATAAACCACAAAGCAGCAGAGTCCAACGGAACTTCCAGACCATTTTCCAGTGGGCTCAAGGGCCCATGTGGCCACATGCCATTTTTAGTGCAACAGAAATGAAACCCTTGCTGCCTATGGTGAGGTAGGGAGGGATTGCTCTTCCAGAAAAGTCCTAGCAACCAAGACAGAGAAGCTGATGGCTAAGACTGAAAGAGAGTGCCTCCCCATTATGGGGCCTTCCAGGAAGTGAAGAACACTGAGAAGGAGTGGCTCACACAACAAGCCCAGAGGGCACAGCAACTCCCCTTTCCTCTTGTCTGCTACACAGTAGAGGGAAGGCATCGTTGAAGGGTCATGGGGAGGTCACAAATACATCAGCTTCCCTTCAGGCTGCCTCTACCAGTTGGTGGTCTCTCCATCTTAACCAAATGAAGGTTTTCAATGGTTTATCTGACATGGAGGACACTGCTCTTTCACCTGCCTCTTCCCTCAGCCCCATATCTCCCAGTCCCTGGACTTCTTGCCCATTTCAGTATTTCCTCAGGTCTGAGAGGACAGATATAATGAGTAAGAGCGCAAGGTCCCTCTCTTGAGGAGACTGAGTGCTTCACTCTCTCCTTCTACTCTATACTGCACACGGAGGCAGGGGGAGGCACAAGCACAGGAGAGTGACAGAGTGTGGCGGCTCCATACAAACCCAATGCCATCACCAATGACCCATAGCCTAGGCCCTGTGACAGACGATCAGCGGCACCATGCTCACCTACAAAGGATGGTTCTGAAAAGCCCCCAGGCTTTTTTCAGGCCTCATCCATGCCCACTTTCCCACTGCCTGGTGTCTGGCATAGAGCATGCTGAGGACACCCAGCCAAGCAGCAGCTCAAGATCCTGGGAGGTGCCCAAGAGGTTGTGACTCCCAAAAACAGAAAGGAGAGGCAAGGTGTGGGGGTAGCACAGGGATGTGCTTTGCTGGCCTTACCTCCTTTCCAAAGCAGGTAGATGGGCACCACGTAGAGCAGAACATGCTGAATGTAGTAAATCTCCAATTCAAAGGGCAGCTGTGAGGACAGGAGGGAGAGAGGTGTTTCAGAGCAGGAAGCACTCATTTTGACAGATTCTGAAGTTGAACGTCCCTGCTCTGCAGGACCCACATTTCAGCAACTCCATGCATTGCACAACTCACCCCGCTTTACAATTCAAGAAAAACAAAACAAAATGAATATACTGCTGACCTAGATCACCATCTTCCAAGGTGTATTTTGCAGAGTGGTACCTGAATAATGCTCCAGAGATGGTACTTGAAAATTTAGTTAAAAAGAAAGTAATAAGAAAGTTTGCATACAATATATCCCCTTGGAGATTCACCATCCATATTTTTGGTGGTCCCTACAGACAAGAACATTGTTAATCCAGTGTTTCCCAAACTTTTTAGTGAGGAACTCTTTTTTCTTATAACACTTAGTATTCTGCAGAATATACCTAAAGGAATACAACCTTATGTTACTTCCTGCTCCTAGCGAGTAGACAATAGACTATTTCAAAGTTTATTTCTCATTTGACATGACGAACATATGGCGTAGAATTTATTATCCCCATTTTCCAGATTTAAAAAAAAAATAACTGATTGCTAGGTCTGGTAGGGTCTAGATCTAAGAATAAAGAGTTTCCCATTGGATATGTGGGGGTCAGTCCAGGGTAAGTCATACTTTTGAGTGAAGTCCAAGCAGCTGGGCCAATTCTGACCTAGCTTGCCAGGAAGAACTTCTCCACACAAAATACCCGCTCACTCACTCCTGTTTCCCATCACTCTCAAAATGGAAGCTCTGGATTACCAAAGCAGAGCACGGTTGCAACCTGGCATGGAGGCCCTGCTATGGAGCTTGGCAGTAGGCAGAGACTGAAAACAGCTGGATAGCTAACTCAATTCTGGGGAAAAAAGAACTTCAGCAGCTAGCAAGAGGCCTAGCCTCTGGGTCTTACACAACCTCTAACACGCACATGCACACACACACACACATGCACACACACAGGAAGCTCAGAGAGACAAGGACGCCCAGGGGAAGGGGTCCACTGCCTCCCTGTTCCCTACAGGGCAGGCACATAACCAAGACTGAGGGCTGATGAGAAGAGGCAGTTACAGGTTCCCCAGGCACAGGAGCCCAAGCCCGCCTTGTGCCGAGGGCTGAAACCAAAAGATGGCAGAGCTCCCAGAATGGGAGTTGCGACAACTGTGGATCTTGGACAAAGACACTGACTTTGGCTCTTGAAAAGAAAAATCTACACGAAGGAAAATTTTCCAGGGATCCAGATGATGCTCAACTATTACTTCATGCTCACAGAGGGAAATGTAAAAACCCAGAAAAGAAGATGAGGTTGCAAGACTCTCTGTAGACTACACTGGAATCGCTAGAAAAAGTCACAGGATCTGCCACTGGGCATCACCAGCATGAGGTCGCTCTAGAGGCCTGCAAGGCCCACACTGCCCCTCACAGGAATGTGGTCTGGCATCACTCTACTGTCTTCGATTTGGGTACTGTTTTATGCTTCTGCAAAGTTTTCACATCTATGATCATCCATGATTTTCCTCGGGCAAGGAGGAAAAAGTCCCAGGAAGGCTCAGCTCTCTGGCTGAAATCAGAATCGTCAGGTACCTAAGGGACTTGACCACTCCCTGAAATGGGCCTGTCCCACAGCAGGGAGTAGAGCACCAGGCCCAGGGCCTGCAGCCACTTATCCCAGCCGTGTCCTCAAGCAGTACCTCTGCCGACTTCTCCGACTCCAGCTGCTGATTCCCCACTTGGACTCACAGCGCCTACCGGCCACTGTGCCCTTACAGTCCTCCTAGAAAGCAATGTCTCCACCTGCACGTCCAGGGAGCAGCCAAGCCCCGCGGTTGCATGCTAGGAGTTCGGAGTCTGCCCCGTGGCCTCAGGCAAGTCACTTAACCTCTCCACCTCAGTTTTGGCATCAGTAAAATGAAAATAAGGATACTGATATAATACTGTTGTACGATTCTTAAATTTTTATAACAGACACTTACATAGTACTTCTTATGTGCCAGGAACTATTATAAGCACTTTGCAAACTATTAATCCAAATGAATCCTTGTAACAACTGTACTGTTTCAATGATCTCTATTTTAGAGCTAAGAAATTGAGGCACAGGGAAGTTAGATAACTTACTCAAGGGTACATAACTCATTCGGTGACAGCACCAGGATTCACATCCAAGCAGCCTGGCTGGAGAATTGATAGTCGTAGCCAGCACACTCCACTACCCTCTTCTCCCTTCCCCCAACAAAAGCCTGCCAAGTAGGAGACACTTGGTGGGAGGAACTGCTGTTATTATTAACAGGGTGAGGACAGTGCTATCAGGAGCAGGAGCAGCAGCAGGACTAGCACATGTCCTCTGTTGTCCCTCCACACGGTGACTCGGCCCAGCCACTTCCTGTTCATAGCCTGCTCTGGCCCACATCACACGGCGGCCAATCTGGCCCTGCAACACAGGCCTCCAGCTCCTGAGCCTCTTGTCACCAACCCACTACACCTCTGCAGCCATCTCGGCCACAGACCTCAGGTCGGGTGGCCAAGAGACTGTCCCCACACACAGTTTTCTTCCTCGGAGGGCTGCCTCACCCCTACTCCAAGAGGTCCCTACCTCGGGGGGCCACAAAGAATGTTAAACTAGGTGCAAGTGCCACTGGCAACCAGGGCCAGAGTGGGGAAAGAGGAACTAGGCAGAGGAGGAAGTGTGGGACAAGAGAAAGAGGAAGGGGATGAAAGAGGAGGTGGGCAAAGTAAGAAGAAACATACTAGTGGCAAAAAGAAGGGAGCTGAATGGGAGCCAAGAATCTACCACTTGTCACTTAACAGTAAATCACACTTGCTAAGTACTTATATGATGTACCATGCACTGTGTTCAATATTTTGACAGGTGTTATCTCATTTAATCATCACAACTTTCCTGTGAAGTGGGGACTATGATCATCCCCCTTTGACAGATAAGGAAACTAAGGCACAGAGAAGTTAAGTAACATCCAGAGAAGCAGCAGCAGGTACGGGTTTGGGGGCAAAGGGCATTCAGCCATGGAGGAGAAAAGAACGCAGCTCTTTACTGAGCACTGAGTCTGGGTTGAGTTCCAAGAACTTTCTTAGGAAGTCTCCCCTGACCCTTTTCCCCCTTTTTACAAACAATATCTGTGAAATGCCATACTTCCCCCAGAAGAATTTCCACTTGGTTCATTCATCTTTACCCGACAGAACTCACAGCTGGAATTCACTGTAATATATAGAGCCTGGTTCCTTTTCAGCTGGAGGAATCCCGAGGCTACAGACAGAAAGTCCTACATCAATGCAACTGAAAGTCAAAAGCAGTAAGAAGGTTTCAAGCTACACAGGTCATTAGTCATTAACTTCCTTCTCACATCCAAGTCAACATCTTTTTAGAATCAAAAGAGCCAAGCAGTACAGTCAGACTCTGCAGTCAGACTGCCTGACACACGAGGTACAGGGGTTCTTACCATGACAACATCCCTGCCCTCTTTCCTCCATCCCACAACCCCGACAGCCGCACTGCCATATGGCCATGGTGGTCTGCCATGGAGACCACTGATCCCTACATCCCTGGTTACTTCAGTCATCAGAAGAAGCCCAAGCCTCCCAGGTCACCCCACAACACCTGAACTCTAATCCCCGAAGGCCTGTTCCCATCTCCCACCCCTCCCCAGTTCTTGAGACCCTTCTGCTCTATTCTCTGGAACCCATGGACCATCATTAGCAAAATCCCCTATATCCTCAAACTCTTCTCTGAACAGTTCCTTCACCTTCTTGCTTTGACAAAAACTTGGTTCCCCTTAAGACACTGTTATCCTGACAGCCCTCTCCAGTGGTGCAGTCTCCCTCTCATAGCTCCCTCTACCCCTGGGCCAGCAGGGTGCCTCTCTGCTCCTCACTGCTGCTTCCAAATTGTCTCTTCCAGAGCATTCTCTCTGCCTCTTTGCTAACAACTCCCCCAATTGGAATCTCATGTCATGAGACTACAGCACCCACTACTCCCCACTGTGGCCCCTCCACGTGTACCCACTCAGTTCTTGAAGACTGTGCCTCTCGCCTCCCTGACACTTCTTTCCAACACTCTTTTGTCAAAATCGCTGTTTTTGTATTTTGCAATACCCTGACCTCTTAATGCCTTGCCCCCCGTTCCCCTCAAGATCTTCTCTCCACCTTACCTCCCTCCTTATTCCCATGGTCATACCTGTCATTATCAATGCCTGCATCCCCTCCATAACCTCTGTCATGCACCCCACTCTCCAGTCACTACCTCTTATCTATCTCTCTTTCCCCCTCATATCCCAACTCCCACAATTCTGCAGCTTCACTGGGACCTACAGTCTATTGATCCTATCACCTTTCACTGCCCTCAACAGCCTCAGGTCCTCACTTCTATACTCACCCAGCATAGAGTTCACGGTCCACCACTCCTTTCCATGTAGACTCAACTCTCCTGACACTCATGGCTCCTTTTTCCTACTTGCCTTGCAAAACCACATTCCTGATTAAATCCAAGTCTCTGCCTTTATGTCCCTATACCTCTGAAAGTAAACACAGCTGAAGAAAATATGAAGCCATGCTGTTGACCCTTGAAATTCATGACAGCAAGGCCATTCGCTCTCCTGGGCATGAACTCCCAAGGCCATTCACTCTCCTAGAAAAGTATTTCACATTTCCCTGCTGTAGACTGATTGAATTGTGTCCCCCAAAGTTCATATATTAGAAGCTTAATTCCCACTATAACTGTTGAGGGTGGGAAATTCTGTTCTGGGGTAATTAATTGAAAGATGGGGCCGTGAAGAGATGATTAGATTACAGGATCATGCCCTAGTGAATGGATTAGTAATGGTGGTCAGGGGCAGGGTTCTGAGGTCTTTAAAAAGAGAGTGAGTGAGAAGTTCTTTCTCTCTGCTCCACCATTTTTGCAATGTGATATTCTGCCATCACTGCTGCCACCACTAAGACCCTCACCAGCCATGTTCCCTGGACTTTGGACTTCCCAGCCTCTGAAACTATAAGCAATAAATTTTGTCTTCTTACAAATCACCCAGTTCCAG